AGGCAGGAGGAGGAGGCTCGCGAGCTGCCAGCTCGGCTGGAGTCGTGCGGCAGCGACCGCCTCTCGCTCCGGGCTGGAGTCCTCTTGTGCGAGCTTGGGGCCTGCCTCTCGCTCCGGGCCGGAGTCCTCTTGTGCGAGCTTGGGGCCGTCTTGGGACCTCGAGGGTCGATGTTCGAGGCTTTTTGCCATTCGGGGGGCCCCCTCGTCACCACGGCTGGACGCGGTCCGGAAAACTGGCCAGCTTGGACCCGGGAAGGGTCCGAGGATCGATTTCGAGCGGGTGTTGGCCCAGGGTGGCGCGAAGGGGGTGGCCTTCCAAGAAGCCAAGGGGGCTTTATTGGAGGGGCTAGCAACGCAGCTAGCAACGCTTTCCGTAATCAGAATCAGCCACTTCTGCGCAAGACGGTTTCACCATCAACTGGCGTTGTTAGTGTTTCTCTGCCAGCCGACCGCGCTTCGGGATGAAACGGAGCTTATGGGAACAAGTCCACTGGTTTGATGAAGAGGCGCCACCTGATCGTGAGCCAACAAACTATCATGATGTGAAAACTTGCCAAGGTTGTGGATTGCAACGCATGGCGTTCTCGGGAACGCCTGGAACAGGCGTGCCTTACGAGCCGTTCAAGGGCTACGCGCCCCCTTCGCAGAAAGATGCAATGGACGCAGAACTCCACGATCCGGCCACTGTCCGCAAGAGAATGACTATGCTGGCCAATCGTATCTTTAGTAAATACCCGACACTGGAGAGCAAGCTCTGGGGCAAATTGCCGCGGTAGTGTTTGGCCTCGGACTCCGCGCTGCGCTGCGCCCGCAGCCTTGGACTTAGAAGTGCGCGGGCACGATCCGCCCCGGAACGCTCCTCGTTTGGGATGGGCCGGCGTCGTCGTCGCCGCCGCCGTCGCAGGAGGGAGGCCGCGACCCTCGCCAGGGAGCTGGGCTTCACCGAGTTTATCCGCGAGGCGCGACCTGGGGAGCGGCCCGCCCGAGCCGCGCCATATCCAGGCTGTCCAACAGTTCGGCCAGGCGCCGCGGACGACCCGTGCGCGTCGCTGGGACCCTCTTGGGGCGACCAGCGTGCTTCGCGGGGGCTCCGTGCTGCGCACTGCCCAGCGCCTCGTTCGCCCGTCGTCGCTTTGCCCGGCGGCCAGAGCCTTGCCCGCTCCCAGCCAGCCAGCTAGCTCGCTTTGCTCCGCGCAGCGGACGACCCGCGTGCGTTGCTGGGACCCCTTCGGGGCGACCAGCGCGCGTCGCGGGGACTCCGTGCTGCGCTGCGCCCGCAGCCTTGGGCAGTGGAGTGCGCGGGCAAAGCGGGAGAAAAAAAACGGGAGGAAGCGGGGGCGATCCACGCGAGGGGGGTGCCGATATGGGCGTCGACATTCATACGCGTAGATTCCCCCGCGCGCAGATTCATGCACAATCAGACCCACTCGTACTCAGACTCACCCGCACTCATGCTCTCGTTGTCAGACCCATCGTTTTCTTCCGCGCTGCGTTCCCCGCCATGCATCGGCACGCCCCTCACGCTGTTCTTGGCCTCGCAGGGAGCTCCACCGAAGACGAGATTCACAATTGCGGCGCACTAAACTGCGTATGGTTGGGTCTTTCGCCAAGCTAGTTTACTTAACAGCGAAGACTGATAGATTTCAAGTGGTCTCAAAAGAGAGCATCATGACTCCCCAGGGAGGTTTGGGCAGATGCCGGACGGGTGCCGCGGAAAACCGGGGTTTTTTTTAGCCAACAGTAACGCACTTCGTGGTCTTCGAGTTCCCAGGACTCCAGTCCTGGGCATGATTTTGAATGCCCAGAGCCAGCTGTAGGCCCTTTCGTGGTCTTCGAGTTCCCAGAACTCCCCTGTTGGGCATGATTTTGAATGCCCGGAGCCAAATGTAGGCCACTTCGTGGTCTTCGATTTCCCAGAACTCCATTCCTGGGCATGATGTTGAATGCCCGGGGCCATCTGTAGGCAGCTTCGTGGTCTTCGAGTTGCCAGAAGTTCATTCCTGGGCATGATTTTGAATGCCTGGAGCCAACTGTAGGGCACTTCGTGTTCTTCGAGTTCCCAGAACTCCATGCCCGGGCCACATTTTGATTGCTGAGGCAGGCTGATGCTGAGGCTGAGGCAGGCTGAGGCTGAGGCAGGCTGAGGCCGAGGCTGAAGGAAGACTGAGGCTGAGGCTGAAGCAGGCTGAGGCTGCGGCCGAGGCAGGCTGAGGCCGAGGCTGAGGCAGGCTGATGCTGAGGCTGGTGCTGATGCGGGCTGAGGTTGAGGCAGCCTGAGGCTGAGGCCGAGGCTGAAGGCAGGCTGAGGCTGAGGCCGAGGCAGGCTGAGGCCGAGGCTGAGGCAGGCTGAGGCTGAGGCTGAGGCAGGCTGAGGCTGAGGCAGAGTGAGGCTGAGGCTGAGGGTGAGGCAGGCTGAGGCTGAGGCAGGCTGAGGCTGAGGCCGAGGCTGAAGGCAGACTACGGCTGAGGCTGAAGCAGGCTGAGGCTGAGGCTGAGGCAGGCTGAGGCTGAGGCTGATGCTGAGGCAGGCTGAGGCTGAGGCTGAGGCTCACAGGCTGAGGCTGAGGCGCGCTGAGGCCGAGGCTGAAAGCAGATTGAGGCTGAGGCTGAAGCAGGCTGAGGCAGACGCAGGCTGAGGCTGAGGCTGAGGCAGGCTGATGCTGAGGCAGGCTGAGGCTGCGGCTGAGGCTGATGCAGGCTGAGGCTGGGGCAGCCTGAGGCTGAGGCCGAGGCTGAAGGCAGACTGACTGAGGCTGAGGCTGAAGCAGGTTGAGGCTGAGGCTGAGGCAGGCTGAGGCTGAGGCTGAGGCAGGCTGATGCTGAGGCAGGCTGAGGCTGAGGCTGAGGCTGGTGCAGGCCGAGGCTGAAGCAGGCGGAGGCCGAGGCCGAGGCTGAAGGCAGACTGATGCTGAGGCTGAAGCAGGCTGAGGTTGAGGCTGAGGCAGGCTGAGGCTGATGCTGAGGCAGGCTGAGGCTGAAGCTGAGGTTGATGCAGGCTGAGGCTGTGGCAGGCTGAGGCCGAGGCTGAAGGCAGACAGAGGCTGAGGTTGATGCAGGCTGAGGCTGAGGCTGAGGCAGGCTGAGGCTGAGGCTGAGGCTGAGGCTGAGGCAGGCTGAGGCTGAGGCAGACTGAGGCTGAGGCTGAAGCTGAGGCAGGCCGATGCTGAGGCAAGCTGAGGCTGAGGCCGAGGTTGAGGCAGCCTGAGGCTGAGGCTGAGGTTGGCTGAGGCTGAGGCTGAGGCAGGCTTATTCTGAGGCTGAGGCTGAGGCAGGCTGAGGCTGAGGCTGAGGCTCACAGGCTGAGGCTGAGGCGCGCTGAGGCCGAGGCTGAAAGCAGATTGAGGCTGAGGCTGAAGCAGGCTGAGGCAGGCTGAGGCTGAGGCAGACTGAGGCTGAGGCTGAAGCTGAGGCAGGCCGATGCTGAGGCAAGCTGAGGCTGAGGCCGAGGTTGAGGCAGCCTGAGGCTGAGGCTGAGGTTGGCTGAGGCTGAGGCTGAGGCAGGCTTATTCTGAGGCTGAGGCTGAGGCAGGCTGGGGGTGAGGCAGGCTGAGGCTGAGGCTGAGGCTGATGCAGGCTGAGGCTGAGGCAGGCCGAGGCTGAGGCTGAGGCCGAAGGCTGACTGAAGCTGAGGCTGAAGCAGGCTGAGGCTGAGGGCTGAGGCAGGTTGAAGACAGGAGTGAGGGACCACCCCCTGCGCACTCCTTGTGACCCTGTCGCGTGGAGGAAGTGCCACGCCTGCCACTCCCAACGACCCTAAGACGGATAGAGACAGGAGTGAGGGACCACCCCATGCGCACTCCCTGTGGCCCTGTGGCGTGGAGGAAGTGCCACGCCCCACGACCCTGAGACGAATAAGAGACCGCGGTGAGGGACCCCCCCCCCTGTGGTGTGGAGAAATTGCTACGCCTGCCAGGCCCCGCGACCCGGAGGCGAAAAGGGGCCGCGTTTATGGACCCCCCCCTGCGCCCCCCTGTAGTGTGAAGAACATGCATGCTGTGTATATGCGTGCTGTATGCGTGCTATATGTGCGCTGTGTGTATGTGTGCGGTCCGTGTCTGTGTGCGTTGCGTATATGTGTCGTGCGTGCACGGTTGTAGACGTGTGTTTCATACGGGCGTCGTGCTGCGTCAGACAGCACGTTCGTTTGTGTATGGTGCGCGCCCGGATTGGTGTGAGAAAGAGAAGGAGAGGGGGGAGGTGCGTGTGTGTGGGAGCGCAGATCCCATGTGACCCCATGTGGGTGGGAGGACCCACCAAGTAGGTGAGGCGTAGGCGTCGCGGGTGGGACGCGGCTGAGAAAAAAACATAAATCTACGAAACATGTGGGGAATATCAAGAGAGGGAGAGAGGAGGCAGAGAGAGAGAGAGAGAAAACAAAAAACAAAAAGAGAGAGGCGAGAGAGAGGGAGAGGGAAAGTTTGACAGTAGAATTGTGATGCGTTGCGAATGTTAGTAGGAAGCACACATGAGGTCAGGGAGTTGGCGGGAGAAGCACCTGCAGCAGGGCCGGAGGCGGCAGCAGGAGGCAGGGAAGGGCGTAGCAGGCGCAGGAGACAGGAAGGGCGATGGCATGGCTGCGTACAGCAAACCCTTGCGCGCTGGCTGGGGTGCCATCTCAGACATCCGAAAGTCGTCATTTCTGTTACAGAGGGAAGTCGTGGACGTCTGGACACCTTCCACGTAGCCGCATTTCGTCTTTAGCCGTTCTTTGACAGCCTTGGGACCCTGTAAGACCCCCCTGAGGCCAAGAGTCACCGAACATCTTCCGTTGTGATTTTTCAAAGCGCGAGGATGTCAGGGCGTGCGCCAAGTTCACGCCGTCCAGCACGGCCATCCTTGCGATGCATCTTCGGGGGATCTCGTCTGTCCTGTAAATTGCTGCATGTTTCCTTGTACCCGGGAGTTGACACGCGGATTCGACATAGATTCGACGTGGATTTGATTATTCACATGGATTCGACACGGATTCGACACGGATAGTGGCGCGATGGTACAGACAAGATTTTCTGAAGATGCAACGTTACCACCATTGGACAATGTCCACTGAAGATGCAACGTAACCATCATTGCAGCGTCCAGCTTGTAGCCGCCCTGGCTTTGGCAGCGAGCCTGGGGGGGGGGCAAGCGGAACCAGGCGCCGCGGAATTGGCGAGCCCGCGCACAAGGCCTGCAGCCGAAGTCCTGTGGACCGGAAGGCAGAAACACCGCAGGAGCATAAACTCAAGCAGTGGCGAGGCGCCTTGGCTTGTCAGTAGGACCACCAGGGAATGTTCCAAGCACCTTTGAGGTTCGCACGACATGTTCTTCGAACAGTTCTGGCTGGGGCTGTCTTGTTTTCACACATCGGCTTGATGTTCTAAGAACATTGGTTCTGTTCTTATCGTATTTTGGGGGTTCTACGAAGATTCCGTGGTATAGACTCATGGGAATGCCGGGGCGGTCGACCCTTGCTCGATAAGCCCAGACCTCCGACGATACGATTCCTTCTGACCCAGGTGTGTTTCCTCGGTGTCGGCGTCGGGGGCCCGCAGCCGGGCCCCAGGACAGTCAGCATCAGATCCGGGGCGCGAGACTTGACCCCCGGGGGGCAGGGTCCAGACCTGGGCCACGGACTGGTCGTGGCGAGGGGGCCGAACGCTCCTTCACTGTCCCCGTCTTCAGGCGATCGCAGACATGGATCAAGGGGGCGTGGATCCGCGACGGGTCCCGCTTCCGTGGGAAATCGCGGATTCCCGCCACGGCGCGAATGATGCTCTCTTGCTGTCGTCGTCAGCCGCGACCCGCCCGCGATCCACCCAGCGACCCACCCAGCGACCCACCCTGCGACCCACCCACACCCGTCCCACACGCGACCCAAACTCGACACCCACATTGCTTTGACGAAGATTCGGCGCCTGGGGCCGGCTCGTTGTGTAGTTTTCACACACCAAGAAGTCGGCGGAGGACGGGGCGGAGGACGGGACGGGGCTGGTCGGCGGCCACCAGTGCTGCGCCTGCGGGCGCCGGGCCGAGAAACAGATGGCGCCCTGGGCACTCCCCGGCCTCGGTGGCCAGAGGGCCCCGGGCGGAATCCTCGTCGACCTCGTCCTCCGCCCCGTCCTCGCAGACTGCCGACGGCCCCGCCGCCCCACAGCTCTTGTCCGCAACTGCGGGGGGGGGGAAGGCGACGGGAAGTCCTGTCGGCGGAGGTCTGGGTCCGCGCGGTTCTCCGGGGTCGGCGCGTGGGTCTCCTCCCCGCACCGCACTCCTGGGCGGTCCTTCCGGGTCGGAGGCCTGTAACGGTGGGCATCAACACCAACATCGGTGGTGTGCTTCCATCAAGGGAAGGTGATCCCGATCTCGGTGGCGGTGTCAATGTTCGGGCTTCCTAGGTGACCCGTAGCATCACCACCAACGCAAGAATCTAGGATCATCTTCCCCCAGTGGAGGCACCCCCCTGTGTTGGTGCGGTGCCCATTTCCAGGCCTCCAACCGGGGCCACCCTTGACGCGCCCCGCGCACCTGGAAAAGTGTACGGAGGTCCAGCGGCGACCTAGGACATCCGCGCGGACCTCCGAAAGCGTACGTTCGTGTCGTGTGTTTCTTGTTCTCCTGTGGGGAGCACACGTTCTATGGGAGGAGACGACGACAACCCCAAGCGAAGCAAAGTGTTAGCTGTCGCTGCATCCATCTTGCTGTTCATCCTCGCGGGCCCCCTGCTCGTCATCGTGAACAAGAAGATACTGCGTGACAATGGCCTGCACCTTCCGGCGTTTGTCTCCGCCATGGGCATCCTCTTCACATCGATATTCACGCACTGTGCAGTCGCGTGCGGGTACGTGACAGTGAAAGATAACGAGCACGGTATGTGGAGGCTGCTTCCCGTGGGCCTCAGCTCCGCTGGGACTTTCATGTTCGGAAACATGGCCTACGTGTACCTAGATGCTGGGTTTATACAGATGCTCAAAGCTGGAACTCCAGCGCTGCTCATGATGATGCTGGCTGCGTTTAAGGTGGAGAAGATTTCGATGCAGTCTGGTGGTTTTATCATCCTCATGGTAGTTGGTGGCATGGTGTCTGCGCAGGCCTCCCCAACACTAAGCATCCTGGGGCTGGGTATCATGCTTCTCTCCGAGATCTTTGAAGGCGCCCGCTGCGTCGTCACGCAGCTGTTCCTCCAGAAGCTCAACTTCTCTGTGTGGGACGCTGGTTACCACATGGCCCCACTCACTGCCGCCTGCTGCCTGCTATTGTCGGCCGCTACCGAATGGCCAGTTCTCATCAGGGATGGCAACTTTCCGTTGTTCACGAGCCAGTTGCCACTCTTGTTTGTCAGCGGCTGCATCGGCATCGCTGTGAATTTCGCCTCGTTCCTTGTTATAAAATTAACCTCCAGCCTCTTGACGAAGCTGCTCGTGGCAGCCAGGAACGCTGGGCTCGTATTGTTTTTCATCGCGGGCGGGGAGCCAGTATCACGCACCCAGATGATAGGCTACGGGATAACACTGGTTGCTTTCACGG